TCATGTATAAACAAATGCTTACGTTTGTACTTCTCATTAAAATTGGTAATCATGATGTTCGGGTAGACAATATTGTGTATGTTTTTTATCGGCCTTTTATCTTTATCTTCATCTTTATCGTCATCGTCGTCGTTGTTGTCGGCTTGTATCAATCTGCGCGCTCTTGCTATCTCTGCCCCTCTGTCTCCCTTTCTCTCTTTCTCCTGGGCGCCTTCGCTTGCTTATCATAATCGCAATGTATGAAATGACAAAAGATATTTGTGTTTTGGATGATCGTCTCTCATTCATTCCAGTTTGCGGTTTAGAGCGTTACACAATCTCTCCTTGTTCATCAGTAGAGCAAAGAAGAAGAAGAAACAGAATGAGCGCACGCGTAAGTGAATCAGTTCCTTTGGGCGCCATCCAGCTCATGGCATACTCTCATATTTAAACGATATTCATGCGGTTAAAAGAAACTTTGCATCCGCAAAATCGACTTTTACCAAAGTCATTTGCTGAGATAAGTGAATTTCAAGTGTTAAATACGGTTTGAATGTAAGAAGCATGCGTGTGTGCGCGATCCACAATTTACATATTCCGACCGATAGAGAGGTAGACCGACAAACGTGCGACGAGGCATTTGTTTTTTTTTGTCTACAGACGGCTAAAATACCAAAAAAAAGGCACTGATTTCTGGCTGGAATCGTATGTCGTCGGCTGATGATGTGACTTTTTCATTAAAAATCCACTGTAGAAAATGAAAACAAGAAACGAACGAACGAACGAACGCGTAAATGTTTATCTTAGTTTCAATGCATGCTGTCGCAATTTCAACAATTTCTTGCAAAAAAACATTGTCGACTTGTTCAAACGGTGTGTGTGTGTGTGTGTGTCTGTCTGACTGTTGAATGGGAAACCCGAGCTTTTTGCTCTATGAGAAATAAGTTATAAAGTGCAATTCGTTCGAGAAAGAGGGCAAAAATGGCTGGGTGGTCGAAATGAATCGTTGTGCGTGCACAAAATAAAGATGTTTCTAAAGAAATGAAATTATTCGTGTTTTGACCTTTATCCACTCGCGCTCGCTATCGGTGCAAAAACGCTCGTTCGCTCCATCTCTTCACCTTGTTCACCAGCAATAAACGACGCATAATCATATCGTTTTCTCTCGTATTCTGCTTAAGCATTTACTTTCGTTCCGTAATGTAAATAGAAAAGGATAAAACGAAATGAACAAGATCCAAAAATGCAATGTTCCTGCTTCTCGTTATTCAACTATTTAAGCCAAAGAACCGAGAAATATTCAAATAAACACCAATCGTTGCGTGCATCGCTTTGACAGAAACCTATATACATATAACAATCGAAAGAGAGTAAAGTGAAGTTCAAACGGAACAAAAAAAAACGACAACGAAAAACATAAACACACTAGTCTTGTTATCGCAAGAGCAAATCGAAAGCAGTGCGACTAAACAAATGAACAAACACGAACAAAAGATAAACGAAAACACAGACACGATATAGATGCATTTATCATTTATTATTGATATGTTCACATCAAAATACCTATCATTTGGCACAATCACACAAAATTCTACGGTGACAGACAGCCAATCACACCCAACTACTATTTGAATATCAGCAAATCTTAATTGTGTGTTTGACACACTGCTATAGCCTTTGCAGCACTCACCTTTTCCGAATCGATTTTCACCAGTTGAAATGTAAACAACAATCGAGCAAAAAACGCGAAACCAGAGAAGTGAAATGTATTCGTATGTGTATATATTATGAAAAAATAAAAAAAAAATTAAACGAAATACAAACCAAAGTGAATCGACGTTAAATAGATGTTTGTGGTGTATCGTCAGCAAGAGAGAGGGAGCAAACAGTGAAATTGAATCAAACACAGACAATTGCCGTGTTCTTGGCAAAACCACTTGAACATCATTATAGGATGTGGTCACAGCGCAAAGTGTACAATATAGAAAAAGTAACTCGACAAAATCAAAAGGTAAAAAACATGGACGTATAGTGTAGTTGCACTAAGAACTAAATATACAGAAGAATATAAACTAGAAGAAAAAATGAGACTCATATACACACACCCAGACTTGGAAATGAAAATCGTTTGCACTATGATATGCACATGTTGGGGACACGGGAATATACGAGCGTTCATTGAGCACAATTCAATTTAGATTATGGAATTCCGTTTCTCTTTCTCTTTTTCACTCTCATGCTCTATCACTCGCACACTTTCGTCGGTATGTTTCACGTTTTATTTATGTTTGGCGTTATTAAATTTTACTGAATTAGTTTTTTTTCCTGCCCCGTAGGTATGAATTATATGCACACATTCAATTCCACAAAGGACTCTCATTCGCTCGTTCACTCACACACACTCTCTCACGTTTCATACATATGCGCGCACCTGCGATATATTTACATTTTTAGTATATAAAGTTTGTTTCGCGATAAATGAGTTTTCCCGATTGGCTTCGCCAGCCACATTCATGTCGAAAAAGAATGAGTTATATGTTTGTTGATTGTATGTTGGCAAGTTCAAGTGAAACTCTAGCGTATGACATCACGACATGGAATTGTTGTACATATATACTTTCTCTCTCTCTCTCTCTCTCTCTCTCTCGTTCTATGTCTGTCTGTAGAGAAAAAAAATTAGTCAAACAGAACATGCCATCAAAACGCACCTTGTTGGAACATTTTATTTTTTTTTCTTTTTTTCACTTCAAATTATACTCTTTCCACTTAAAAGTTTCGAGCGAACGAGAAAAATTTAAAGAAGAATAAATAAATGGCACATCCAATGTGCAATATATCGTGAGACACGTTGTTGTCCTTAGGCTCTCACTATTTGCGACATGTCGCATAGATGCTTTCAACAATACGTGCTAGAAAAATGCATTTTCATTCGTCCACCGTCGTGGTGGTGGTGGCATTACGTTTTTCATAAATATGAATTCAATGACGACACCGAATGAGTGCATTCTTTGTGTCCGTTGTGCTGGCCGTACGCCCACATTACGCGCGCGGCGCACAAGCAAGGCTATCATCCGCAAATCGTTTAAATGGTTAGCACCACCGATATTCAATAGAATAAAATGACATTTAACTTGATTATTTGGCGTTAAGTCTCTTTAATTTCTCTCCCTCTCTCATTCTGGTCATTCTCGTTGCAATCACTTCATTGCATTTTTCATGATCGCATTCAATTACTCAAGTCTTAATGATGTTGAGCTTCTTTTTTGTCTGTTATCTGAATCAGACGTTATTTTTCATGTTTGCAAATTGATACTTTGTGCCCGCTGTTTGCCGCGTGCATCATCTGTGATTATATTTTTTTTTTTCATTTAAATTTCCAATCGATTTTCTCTCTCTCCTCATCCGTTTGTTTCTTTTCTTTTCATTGTCATTGTCATTGATCCAAAAGCACATTACACGTTCGTTATGGCGTCTCGTGTGTTGGTAACGACGATTTGTAATGCTTCGATGGATTTTTCAAATGATTTTTGTTCGTGTGTAGCGATGAACATCAAAAGTATTTATATGAGAAGAGGATTTTCATTTCAAAAGGAAGTCGACGCATTTTCGATGTCGACCTTTTTTTTTTAAAGGCAAAATGTCATTATCATTTCACTCGGTCACCCTCGGTTTGTTTTTTTTTTCTCTGGCAATATGTGCCACAAGCAAACATAAAAATTGACACTGTGAATGAAACAGATATTGTGCGTGCGTGTGTGTACAGATGTGAGATATTTGATGCAAGATACGCCAAGGAATAAGAGATTGAGCATTCACATGGCGATCCCCTCGAAAGCATTAAGTAAACAGTTGTGCAAAAAAAAGAACTGTGTGTGTGTCGTTGAAACGAAAAAATGACGCATTTACACTGTGTGTTTGTGTGCATGCATTTTGCAAAAGGTTCAACGAAAATTTCAACAAATGATTGAACATCAACACCTCACTTTCCATATAATCAGTTGGTTACACATGGCTCCCGAACCGTCGTCGTCGGCATTGGTTCGCTCGCCCATTCGTTTGCTTGCTGGCTTGATTGTCTGCTATCTATATGCTGTGTGACATATGTGTTATTCAATTCGATGTCAATCTATTTTTCGATTTCGCACATCTTCATCGCCAACCTACATGCAGCAATGCTTGCTTTGATATATGTGCGCACGATACACCTTCACATAGTAGAGAGAGAGAGAGAGAGAGAGAGAGAGAGAGAGAGAGAGAGAGAGAGAGAGAGAGAGAGAAAACATCAAATGGAAAACTCGAAACTAATTTCCGATCATTTTGTTGGTTTTACTTTGTTTGCTCGGTCGTTTGGTTGTCCATTTTTGGTCATAGTGCACCCGTCACCCTTCGTCTTTGCCTGCAAATCCACTGTACATTGGTCGATTGAACAGTTTTGTCAAAAGAATTCCATTAAATTCAAGCATTTGGTTAGACTATGATGCTTCAATGAAGAGTATTTTTATTGCAATGATTTTCGAAACATATTTTTTTCTCTATCGCTTCTCTTTGCGATGGAATTGGAGTTAAATGCGATCAAACTGCCAATTCAATCAACTGCTCTCAAATTCCCTGTCTCGAACATTTTTTCATTAGTTCCAAATTGCGACATTCCTTCCGAAGAACCCGAGATTTTTCCCATTTCGAATTACTACGGATTGAATTAGACGGATTTTTGAAATATTTTACTCTAAAAAAAACATAATCTCCATGAATTTTTCCGTAGAAAATAAGCATAATCTATTTTGGTGATTGGATTTTCAATGATAATAGCGCATTGTCCATTCATTTTGAGATCGAATAGTGGGGGTAAAGGGAAAGCAAGGACTCAATGTATTTGCAAAATTTGTTTTTCCATTTTGCTAAACTGTTTGTTTTTTCTCTCCATTGTTTCTATCCGGTTTTGCTGCTGCTGCTGCTACTGCTACTGCTGTCATTGGCCGCTCTTTACATGTTCATCGCACACACACACGCAACATACACAGAGCCCCGTTACACTATGCAATTTAGGCGTTGGAGCTACATTTGGTGAATCAATCCTGCACGACCTTCCACGTGATAGCACAGTTGTGACAAAAACCACCTGCGAATTATTACGTGTTGAACAACAAGATTTTCGTTTAATTTGGGAGGTAAGTGCGTGTGTCTATCATTTTGCTTGAAGTTTATATCGAATTTACAGAGGTCTGGTCTTATATGTTGTGCCGTGTTTTGCACGCATTTTTTTCTTGCTGGTTCTGGCTATTGCCTTCAAAAACACAGGCACACACAAGTGTGTTTTATTTCGCTCTAGGGATGCATACATAAAGTACAACAAGCACGTTTTTGGCCGCCACATACTTTTGTCTTTGTTCCGGCTGAAATGAACGGATTTTCCTTTCCATTCACGTTTCGAATATCAAACACAGCACACTCATTATCAAATTCCAGTGATCCTTTCAGTACTTTCATTGCCACACATTCTTGCGAGCTTTTTTTATGGGCTTTTCCCTTTTTCTCCCTCTTTCGCTCTCTCTCTCTCTCTCTCTCGCTCTCTCTTTCTCTTTGTATCTATCCATCTTTCTCCGCCCTCCCATTTCTCGACCAATTATAATTCCACGCATTCATCTGGTTCTTTTCAATAAACACTTTACGGATGATTCACTGGCATAAATAGTTGAAATTGACAGGAATGAAAAAGGAGGAATACGTGCATTCGATTTTGATGTTAAATTCAACACGAACCGCGATCATGCATTGATTTCAAATAGATCGTTCGGCGTTTTGGTATCGCTTTATCGGTCTAAGAAAAAGGCGTCATGAAGTTTTCTTTTTCCTTGTGGCGACTGTCAAAAAGAAGTTAAGAGCTCAAACACTGTCCTTTGCATTCATAATTGAATGAATCGATGGAATGAGAGCTTACAAACGGGCTGTTGATAACAACAACAAGATTCAAGAGGGAAAATCAAATCGCTAAACCGTGAACACACACACACATATGCACATAAAAAAAGCGATGCGCCCTGATATTCTAATTAACATTTTATATCCTTATTCAATAGCTGCAGCGTGTATGTAAGTATGACTTGAATACACTAATTGTGCTTAATTTCCTGTTCATAAGCTTTTATCGTTTGAAGCGAACACGGTAAATTCTGTGGAGTTGTGTCTTTATTTATGATTGAGATTTTACCGAACACACTTTCACACACACACAGAGAGAGAGAGAGAGTCTCTGAACACTCTCGTTTGCACAAAATTCACTTGAAAAATCTGGTGAACGCATAACATGCTAATGTAAATGTAATGTCGCATATTGCTCAAAGGTACAAGGTACAAGCATCCGTTATCTCACGCGAAATACATACGAATATATATTTTTATATCTATATAAACACTCATATATATCGATTTTCTTTTTTGTGTGTGCCGCGACGCTCTACACTAAGTCATCTTTGCTAACGTCGACGTCGACATCATCATCATCATCATCGTCGTCGTTGAGCACTTCGCGTACCTTAGCCCAAGTGTGTGCTGCTGCTGCTGCTGTTCCTCACTCTCGCATTCGTATATTCTTGCATTCATATAATTCTTTGTTTCACCATGAAAAATTTACGATTTATAAGAGTTAGACATGATACAAAACATGCTGTGAAAATATTCTCGCATTAATTCAATTTTACATATCCCGTCTTTCCTTGGCCGTTTTCTCTGCAGTGGCATCAGGCCTCATCATATCCACATTTTGTAAAGAGGAAAACCGTTCGCCATGTATACTTTTTTCTGTGTTTTGCCTCTCTTCATCGGAGGTTTTTTTTTATTTCTTCACCATCCATTTCAATCCACAAAAAAACTGTACTTTCGCAATCACAACACTTGAGATGGAATCTCGCAGAGAGAGAGAGAGAGAGAGAGAGAGAGAGAGAGTGCGATAATCTCTTTTCGAGCGATTTTGTTTCTTTTATCAATGTGTGTTTTCTTTTTTGTCTTGTTCGTTTGCCCCCCTTTTTATCCCTGCGTCCATTTGCCATTACCAACACAGAACACATATTGTGAAAGCAAAGCAACACGCACTAGAACAGAGAAAAAAAAATCAAACATATTCTGCTACTTATGCGTTTGCAATGAAAGTGTCTTCGTCGTCGTCATCATCATCGTCGCATTTTTTTTTCTGCTTCTCCATCTTTTTCTCCGTTCTAACTTTGATTTTATCGATATTCTTTGAGATTATTTTGTAAAAAATTGAGTCATCTAAATGCAATACGCGCATAATACAAAATTGTTTTGAAAACTTTGTATCTTTTGTATCCCCATTATTTGTGTTTTTCCCTCTCTCTCTCTCATACGCTCGCTGTGTGTCCCATTGACGATATAGCCGCATTACCATTTGTTTTCTTTCTGGTGTGGGTAGTGGAATCTTTGTCAGATTCTTGGCTTTGCTCGCATTGTATTGTTTTACAAAGCAGAAAATTTGATAGACTAGATAAACGTTTGCAACATTCATTTGTGTCGCTTGACTCGTCGTTGTTGAAGTCATCGCGGTTGTCACCCATGCCCAAGTGTATGTGTGAGCGCTTCTTGCCGAATGGCGACGACGATCAAACACTTGTTTTGTCTTTGCCGCTTCAACTTCAGTCGTTATTGTTGTTACCGCTGCTGCTGCTGCTGTTGTTCTTCTGGTTCTTTTTCTCCATCGTGTGTCTCTTCTATTTCACTTTAAATGCATTTAAACAACATGTTGACAAAACAACATGTGCGAATAACAGAAAATTTCTTTTTTATGTGCAACAATATTACAATTTTATGTACTACATTAACTACTTTTTTCATGTTAGTGAGTGTGTTATATTGTGTGTTACTTTGTGTTGGCTGGCTGACTGGCTGGTACAATAAAAGGGAAACCCCATAAACCGTTCAGTCGACATGTCGATGTGAAGTGATTGTCTGTTTGGCTTTTGCCAAAAAAATTCACACACACACACACACAGTAGATGTTTGGTTAATCTTTGCGTTTTCTAGCCTAAACCATCACATCCACTTAAGTAAACCCAACACAGAAAAAGAGTTTTGGCTACACACAAAATGATGAGTCTAAAGCCAAATCTGTAGTCTGAAAACTTTTCGAAAGGTAATCTTGATTTGAGCTAGAATTTGTTTGCTGTGTGAGAAAGAGAGGAAGAGCCAAACAGAAAAAAGAAAAAACGAAGAGAAAAATCGAAAGATTTATTTTGATTCTGTTTTCTTGATAATCAAAAAAGTACAAGCTTCGATTCATTCGGTTGAGCCCGAATAGAGAAAGAGAGCGTACGATAACATCGAAGGGAACCGAACAAAAAACAGTATATCGAAATCGATTCCATGCTCGAATTTCTTTTCTTTTTTCGTTCAAAACAAATTCCTTTTATTTGCTCGTTTCCTTTTTTTCTTTCTCACCCATAAGGGTTTCGTTTGCTCAATGCAACCGAACAACACGCTTTTGATAAATATTTACTTTGTGAAATTAGAATCGATTCACTCTCTCTCTCTCTCGTACACATATTCTCTATTGCACATTCTTTACAAAGTCGAAAGTATGTAGTATGCAGCTACAGCAATGATGCAATTCACACACCTCTCGTATCGCTGGTATATTTGCGCACTCTTGCACACTCAATAGTACAAGTTGATTTGATTGGGATATACTTATGTCTTGGAAAATGGAAAATCCTTGCGCTTAGGTGTTTGTATGCATCTGCTAAGAGTTGAATTTCGCTCGATTAAACGGTTTTTTTTTCGTTCTACTACATTTTATTTAACGAATGCCGTTTTTTGTTCTGTGCACAGTTCAACATCTATTCAATATTTACTCTTTTGACTGTAATTCTTTTTTCATTTTCTCTCTCTCTCTCCGTTTTCTATTTACAGAAAAATAAAGAATTAATGAACGACATTATCACCAACTGCAAACTGAAAAATGGTAAGCACTATTGCCCTCTAGCTAACCGCCTCACATTTTGCACCGGAAATGATTCTCACACACATACACATATACCACGTGACCGAAAAAGAGATGAAAAAAAACGCACGAATTACCAACTAGATCGAACAGAGAAAATAAAATTAAGGTCAAGCACATGTTGGAATTATAAGAGAGCTGCATGCAACAAAACAAAAGGAGTCCCTAAAGAGAAATTTTTTGATGAATCATATTGATGCACTTAAATGTGCACACGCTATCTTATTATTAGCTTTTCCTATTGCTTTTTAAATTTAATGAATTCCTTTGAAAATATCCATTCGATGTTATCAAATGGGCAATGCTTCAGTGGAGTAACACGTTTACTTGATGCATGAAAACAGCAGAAAATCTGCTCATTTACGAATTTCGAATGTTGAGGGTGAATGCGAACAACAACAACAATAACAAAAACCATTAATGTCTGAATCCATAAGCTGATTTGTGCGGTAATACGGATGAACAATTGGAAAAGACTTGAAATTCTTAGATGCTCAACTTCAATGCAAATATGATACGATAATAAGGACGTCGACAACGACAACAATGTGGAACTATTCCGAACACAAAACCGATTTAAAATTCATTGAGCATTAATACGGAAAACCGCATTTTTTTTATTGGCGCGTAAACGTTTTAATATATTCTCATAAATAAAATAATTTTTCAATAAAAAACAAAAAGAAGTTTGAGTAGAAAAAAAAACGCAGCATTATTATGCTAAATAGATGAAAAAGATGAGAATCTTTTAAACACATTTTGAAAGTTGTTCATTTCATTCATTTCGCGATCTACAACTTTCTAATAGAAAAAAGAATGAACACACACACACACAGAGGCGGCGGCATTCATGTAAATCGTTCATCTATTCCAAAAACGACTGAAAATAAATAATTTATTTGGTTCAATGTGCTATCTGGAGTTATTTATATTATGGTTTCTTTTATGACAAGAAATCGTTAAAATTTTTGATCTCCCGAAAATGCCGCCTTTCCCTTTATTCCATGATTCTTTTTTTTACTTTGTGTTTTTTGGTGTCGTGTTGTTGTTGTTTTCGATGATAAATTGTTGATGATTTTCTCACGACCTAATTCCAAAAGTCGTCAGTCATGTTTTACACGAATGTGCGCCGTACCTTATCGTTTCCGTATTCACATTCGCATTTCATATATGCAATAAATGGTGGCATATAATATACATTTGTGAAAATCACCATTACGAGGATACCTTTTCTCTTCTCTACCGACAATCAAATACGACACAGTTTGGTCACCAACAATGCATACGCCACACCAATGCCCATTGAATAGGAATGGGTCTGTTAATGATATGAACAACGATCCCACAGCAACCAAGAGACTATTTATATTTTTATTTCTCGATTCATTCGAAACATTCCAAACTGAAAAGAAAAATCCACATAGGGGACATTGTGTTTGGATTGTCATTATTTCGTGCACGCTACTGTTCTATCAATTCCAACGAAATTCAAATCATACGCAGAACACTTGTGGTGTCAGAACCACATACCTGACGTAATCATGCGTATGTGAATGACATGTTCGAAACCGTTTGCTGGTTTAAATATGTCATAACGGCTTTTTGGCATGTGTCCAGCTAACAGTACAAATTAGTTTGAATGAAGTCAGACGCACAAACGCATGCAGACTCGCTCTTGCACACCCGCACACCCGCACGCACGCACATACATTTTCGGGGAGGCAGCAATATTTCCATGAAAATTTCCATAATTCCTCTATTGATGGGGAGCACCATGGTGTTCGTTTATTTGAATACATTATCGGCCGTCATATGTACATTCTGACTGTGATCTCGACTAGCATCGCCGTCACCGTTACCACCACTGCCACCACCACCACCACACCGCAAGCCCATTGATAGCTTTGTTGAATATTTTTCTTTGTTATTATTCGGTTACGTAAATTTAATCTTGCGTTGTAATTGAAAACAATATTGGTTTAATGCAAATTTTCTGTTTGGCCGCAGTCGAACGGTTCTTTTCGTCATGCTGCTTTTATTTTGTCGCTCTTTTTTTTCTTCTATGTTTCATTTTTTTGCTGTTATCATCATTTTGGTGTTTGGGTTTTCTTTCTGAATGCTTGTTCTTCTGTTTTTTGCTTCAGTTTTATTTAAAAATTTATTGATCGATTTGTGAATTTGTGTGTGCACCAGTTTTATACATTTAAATGTTGTATAGGTTTTGGCCGTGGCATTACACCTGCGGCACAGTCACCGGTGCGTCGCGCCAACAGTCCCGACCATCCGAATCCAGCGTTGGCAATCACCGAAATTCCAAGCCCAGCGATAACACGAATCGGTTGGGCGCTACGTGTCCTATTACTGTCTGACAGCTCCAGCTGTCTCAAAGATCGGAAGGTAAGAGTGACTGGCATTAGATGAAAAAAAAAACCATTTTATCATAAAAGGAGCACAGAAAAAAACACACACTCATACACCATATTATAACAACTATGAAAATCGAAAGCGCATAACACACCGTTCTGGGTGGAAAAAAAGGAGAAGGGAAGGAAAGAGATAGGGAAAAAAACAAAAAACAAAAACAAAAAGAAAATAAAGATGATATCAACGGTTGTAATAGCGCTGCATAAATGGGCATCGCCAATGTGGCCAAGCGAGAGGCGCAACGAAAAATCAATACATAAAAATCCAATTTAGCTGTATCTAATGGTTTCACGCACCGTCGTCGATGAGTGAATATGCTGTCGCTCGTCCGTATAAAAACAATAACATAATGATTTGATGTGTTTTTTTATAGGTTTCAGGCAAATTGATTCGAAAATGTGCTTTGGGTACCGAACTTGTCGACTGGCTGATGAATTTATCGGTAATCGTACATACAAGAACACAGGCAGCTGGTATGTGGCAAGCAATACTCGAGGAAGGTGTTTTAAGTCACGGTCAGTAGCACATCTCTCTCTCTCTCTCTTTTCGCATTGTTTTTTCGTTGTTTATTGGTTTTTTTCCCTTTGTGCCGAAATGGACGGCTTCACATTATAACCAGGTCTTACCGTCATAGTCGTCAGCAAAGATTACCTTCTATTCGATACGACTTCAAGATTTATTACATTTATAATGAGATATAAAAACCGGAAAACACTAAACCGCAATGTGAATTGATTTTTCTTTTCATGAACTAAAAACGAATTACAGGAATAAATGATCTAATTTTAAGTAAAGAGGTTCTTAGCTTCGCTTCGATACGATACGATACGATACATTTATTATTGTTTCGTAGTGTCTTTTTTTGTCTTCAAACCAAATGAAAAAAAACACCATTTAATTTCCTGTTCGTTTCGTTTTCGATATAATTTTGGGTGGGGCGCGGGGAAAACAATCACGGCAAATCCAAAAACAAAACAACAAAAACAGTGAACAAAGAGCAACCGTTCAAAGATAAGTGTTTCCTGTATCGATTCAAAGTGGATGAGGAGGGTACAGGTTTGCAGCCAACATCAGACGAACAGACGGCGGCAAATGAACATGTACGCGAAGCGTTAGGCACTCTTTTGCATCGTGGCTCTGATGCTACATTGCGAATGATTTTACGAAAAACGTAAGTTATTTTTTTTTCCTCTAGCATAGACACACATATACGCACACTTTCAATGAACGAAAGTTAATTTTCCTTGCAAATACACTCTATTGTTGACCAAAAACACTTAGTGCCACTCTCAGCGCAATGCTGAGATTGCAAATACAGTTTATCCAAGACTTTGTTCGTTCATTTGGTTTTTGGTTTTTGGTTTGCTTTATAAGAAAATACAAGTCACACTTAAGGGGTTTTTTTTCGCTTTCCGCTCGCCTAAAACTGAAACAACATTACAATCTTGAGTCATGAATTTCTTGGGGCGATCGCACATATCAACGGAAAGAAGAAGAAAAGAACGATAACAAAAATATATAAAACTCTTTAGTAGTGGAATTTCCCTTTTCTAGTATGTCGATAATTAAATTTTCTCCATTTGTTCATTCGGCCGAGCGGCCGAAATTGCATTTTCACACACATTCACACACACATATACACACTCATACAGATCTCATGAGCGCACGCAAGAGGAACTCGAACTGGTATTTGAAGAGCTACTTCATATTGCAGCCTTATCACATCTATCAACATCAATAAAACGGGAATTGGCATCAATTATTGTGTTCGAGGCACATGCCAATGCGGGCACCATTCGTAAGTACACACTTGAACATTTTGAGTTAAACACAACACAGACGTTTAACACAATGTTTGTATATTATCGTTTTATTGCTGCCATTGCAAAAACGAATTATGATTCTTATTTCGGTCGGTTTGGTCGGTGCTTCTTTTTTTTTCTTCTTCTCTCGAGCACTTTTTGGCCAACGCCATGCAGACACGTACTTGCTCACTCGTTGTATATCTGCATCGCCAACCAGAGAAACGATGTACCGATTTGCGAAATAATCATATTGAATGTGGACAATTGACTCCACACCACATAATGCTTAAATGCCAATTTTCGACCAAACCGAGTGGTTCATGTTGCGTTATGCATAGCATACATATCAACGAACACATCAAACGCAATTGTATGGACGCAAATTCAGGCTGAAATTCTCTTCTACACAACTTTGCACGCACTTCTCAAAAGGAACGTGCAAAAATCGATAATTACTTATGGTTTTCCGTTTGTATATTACCATTATCTTTATTCGTATTTTCTCTCTCTCTCTCTCTCTCTTTCTCTCTCTCTCCTTCGCACACACACATTTCTCCACTCCATTGACGCGCTCGCGCGTCCATTCTTCTTATGTCAAAGTACACGTAATATGAATTTCAGTTTGGTTTGGCGTATTTCGTCACAAGTGTGGCGAACAACATTAAACAAACAACACAAACGCGCGCGCACACACAATCCGCAATTAAAGTGGATTGTTTCATGGAATTTAATTAACAAATAAATCGCATCATTTTCCTTGGACTTGAAGTGTTGTCGAAATTCAAAAGCGAAACTCTCAACCCGTAAAATGTTGTTTAAGAGACGCACAAAAAGAGACAGCGACCGATAAAGAGAGTGAATACGCAGCTATTTCTGCTAATGATTATGGTCGTTTTTCATCTCCGCAATTTTGCAATTACACTTTCACTTTGGTTTTTCGGTGCGGGTGGGTATGGTATGGTTTGGCTTGACTTGGCTTGGCTGCTGTTGCCTCTGCTCTATCTCAATCGACCGCCTGTATCGCCATATTTGGCCATTTCGACCATTAATAACGTCCCATTAACACTCAAAAGTCACTGTCAATCGAATATTATATGACAGACGATGCATGGCATCAACATGTTAACGATAAGTAATCTTATAATAGATATAAACGTAATTAAACCTTTTCCCTTGTCTACTGTGCCTTACACACACACTCTCTATCCCATCAATGGGACGGTCTGTGTGTATGGTGTTTTCTCTTTTATTTTATTTTATTTTTTGGTTCTAATTTTCTTGGACATTTTTCCTGATTTCCTCATCTTTATACTTGGCCGTTTACGCGCTCGTTCGCTCGCCTCACCAATATAACCGATTTATGCGTGCAAACATACACACAAAAACAGTATTTAATCAGGGTGACGAAGGACGTTCATGGTATATTTTACTAAAAGGATCCGTTGACGTTGTAATTCATGGCAAAGGAACCGTCGCAACACTGAAAGAAGGCGATGATTTTGGTAAATTGGCACTCATTAACGATGCTCCAAGGTATGTTAACTCATTCGCTTTCGCACTCTTTCGCACACACACAACAGTTTGCTGCTCCCCCGCGCGCAGCATACAGTTTGAGTGATGTGTTTATTCTTGTTTAGGCATTGTATGTTCAGAGCCCACTCTCTCCCTCTCCCTCTCTCTCTCTCTCTCTCTCCCTCTCTCTAGTCTTGATTTCTTTTTCCATATGGTGCTGAAGCGACATCTCACTGCGACAACGTAAGAAAAAAGTGGCATAAGTTAAGAAGAAGAAGAAGAAGTGCACGGTGTATACTGTAGTTAACGTTGTCGCAGTGAGGCGTCGCTAGCAGCAGTCATTTGACGGCTTTAATGTAAAGTAATACATGAAATCGAGGCTTGCTCTCTCTCTCTCTCTCTCTCTCTCTCTCTCTCTCTCTATGGCTCATTAAAATATGATTGATATGAAAATATATGTTAATTTCATTTTTGGCAACATTTTCGGGGAGGCCTATGAACACAGATACCACAGCGCCAGGCCACCGAAAACTTCTCTGCCAAAACATATATAGAAATTTGCACGCTCGAAATAAGAAGAAAAACCCAAAACGAAACGGTAGAGAAAAAAAAAGATAATCAGCGAAAAGAAAAGAGTGAAAATGATGTTTGACTATGCTTCGTGATTCGCTTTCAAGTGTAAAGTTGTTGAGTGAATTTCCGTTTCATTTAGACCTCAGTAATTTTGTTCGCGATTCATGGAAATGCGTCAAATTAGATATGTCTTTGTTTCGTTCATTATCATTATTATTATTCTATCTAAGTATACAAGAAATGGATGAATCGGACCGAGAAAAAAAAAACAATATGTTACCGCGCTGTTGTTCTGTCGACGAAGACGGCGTCGGGCGACGTTGGTAGCCACGGAGCCCATCGTCTATGTATATTTTCAAAGTGTTAAAATAACGCCATTAGAAATTTACACCCTTATTTGAAATTAATTCAATTCAATTACCCGGTCAGCTTCGTTCCTTTTTTTTCTGTACAGTTTTTTGTTGGGTGTATTTTCTTGATTATGTCGTTAGTGCGTCATTGATCCGCGATTCCTCGGTAGCATTGACGCAGTCTTTGGCAAAGATATCTTATCTTTGACCACATTTATCTTATCTTTATCTAGATGATTTTTTTCTTGTATTTGCCAAACACTGCATTGACGTAATGAATGCTTGCGCTAAACTAATTAGCACTAAAAATAAATGACATCAAATTCAATGTAAAGACATGCCATCACACTCACTGTCTCTGTGTCTCTCCTCATTTCGGACAATTTGACTAATATTTTCTAATGCTGTATACATTTTTTTCTTCTCCCCTTTTAATTGCTTCCGATCGTCAACGGTTTCCTTGCCACTTGCGTCAAAAATGTACCAAATTCCACTCTCACCCTCCACACACGACTCAATAAATGTATATGTGGGATTGGTATGGATTACGTGGTTCTGTTGCAAATCGAACATTTCGTAGAGCTGCCACAATTGTACTGAAAGAAAATAATTGCCATCTATTGCGCGTCGATAAGGAGCATTTCAACCGAATTTTGCGAGATGTCGAAGCGAACACATTGCGTCTACAGGAACATGGAAAAGGTAATTTAGATGTGCTTTTAATTTGATAATCCTTTCAATATTTTAACCTACTTTAACGGTGAATATTTTTAATTTCCTCCAAACCTATTAATTCTTTCACAACAATGATGTTTTACATGGTGTTTTTTTCTTCTTCTTTTCAGATGTTTTGGTTTTAGAACGTGTTGCCAAACAACGTGGGTTTTCCTCCGCATTTAAGTAGGTGTACTTTCTCTCGTTCTGTTATTATTATTATTAGAAAGTATTTTCATAAAAATGAATGTTTGCTTAAGAGAAAAGTGTGTGCGAAATGAAGGCGAGACGAGAAAATCAGAGATATGAAGATAAAGAGAGAACGAGAAAATATAATAATCAGAGAACGCACCACCGTGTTGAACGTACTTGTATATAAAATTCTAATATTGGTTTGGATCGTGCTGTGTTATGTCAGTATGACAAGAAGCACACACACACACACACAGAGACACACCGTATGAATGTAATAGGGCTGTTTCGGTAAGATAAAAGTGCGTGTGCCATTCGATACCACATCGAAAATCATCTTAATGAGCTTTTTTCGCCTCCTACTGCGTTTTATTGTTCTCTGTGTATATTTTGTCAGTGTACGGTTCATTGCCAAAAATGAGAGCCGGTATTCAAGGCGTGTGTTCTATTTTCGATTTTCATTCTCACGGCTGTCTGTTCTCGGCTCTTGGCTCTCGGCAATTTCTACCCGCAACAGCATTCTCGTTATTGTCGTCATCGACAAATTCAATTTTCCGCGTTAGCATATTTTTCATTTTCATTGAGAATTTTAATAAAATTAATTTCAAACTTCTTTACGTATCATTCACCGGTGTATTGTATCGATTGAAAGCTAACCGAAAAAACGCTACTGATTGAAGAACACAATACAATACGAAAATAATGACGACGTTGACGACGACGATGACGACGATGATGTGCCACGTAAAATGACTTAATGGAAAGTGATGAAATGAGTTGCCATTTCGTCTCAATAATTATGACTATTATTATAGGAAAATTGAAAATCGAAATTGAATATTTACCCAACATTGATTGGTGGTAGAGGAATTCAATTATGATTTAATGAATTCGCTTTGTTTCTTTGTCTATGTGTGTACGTGTTGTTTCGTGCACAATTTTAGATATACGGTGATGTCTGGAACACCACAAAAGATGCTTGAACATTTACTTGAAACTCGCTTAGGTGGACAAGTGGGACCAAACGATCCATTCCTGGATGATTTCATATTAACGCACATTGTTTTTATGCCCGTGCAGATTCTAATCAACGAATTAGCCAATTTATATCCTTTTTCCACGAAAGGCGAACCAAAGCTACGCCAAAAATGCAATTTTTCATTTCATCTCATTTTTTTCTCTCCAAATTTATGTCTTTTTTTATTACAATAATCGATAAATCCATTTGTAGCCAATGTTGTTGTTGAAAGAAATATATTTTCCTTAATAGAATCGAATCTCTTTCGGAAACACATTTCACAATGGAGGCAATGATGAAAGTGATTTATCAGCAACGGCCGAAGACTCCGAGTATACACTGACAATGCGTAAGCGGGTAATACATTTTGTCCAGAAGTGGGTGACTGCCGTGCGACAAGCAGTTTTCGAAGAAGCATTGACTGTTGGTTTTATTGAGGTGCGTTAATATAAATTTAAATACACTCTTCCAATCGCTTTTTTTCTCTCTCTCCCTCTACCCCACTTGGATTGAAAACAATATGAGACGATGACGACGACGTTCGCACACTAAATGCTAATACGTGTCTTCATCCGTCGACATTTACCGTTTCATTAGACTGTTCCATTTATGTTACGGACCTGTTTGCCTTCCTTTTTTTCGGTTGTTGTTGCTGTCTTTTCATTAAACATGTCCTTTCTCTTTTGTCTGTCTATTTTTGCGATGCGGTTTTTCGGTGGAATTTATAGGAATTGGCAAGCGTTGTTGATGGCGATCCCGATTTACAGGAAGAAGCTGGCATCATGCATCATGTGCTAACACAACTATTAAGATATCAGGTAAATTGGTTTGGCGGCAACGTCAAATATATATAAAGATAAATTCCCGTTGAAAATCAGCACACCAAAAACGATTTCTCAATGAGACGAAGCTCAAATGCTTTAGTTCTCAACGAATTAGAGGATGAGCGTGTCACACACACAGTTTATTGTTGCTTGTTTGCCCTCGTTTTGATTTTTGCCCTCTCTATCTCCGTCTCACTCTGTATGCGTGGATGGCGGTAGGTATTCGACGAAAATGTCGAATCTCAGGATTGAGGCGCTGAATGGTTTCGGGGTTCGTGCCATTTTCATTGTACAAGCGAATAACAAGCATTACAATTGTAGATTATTGCTTCTAATGCGATTCGAGTAATTGTGCTCTCTCTGCGTAGGAATGTTGATGACGACGACAACGACTACGCGAAGAACACACCATCGAATGTGATGTGTACGCTTTCTTTTTTTTTTCTTCTCTCGTGTGTATGTTATTTCGGGAGGGTGGCTAATGCGAGTTTGAAAAGTAGCTATTACGTTGATCTTATCTAATATAATAAAAGATATCGCTTTGCTTTTAAATTGTTCAGGCTTCGGGGCCTTGTACACCAGCGTGAACATATTTGTAAATTTGCAATGCAATAAAGTGTGCTGTTCCCTCTCTCTCTCTCTCTCTCTCTCTCTCTCTCTGCGTTGACTTGATTCAGTGTTTTCTTTTTGCATCAGGATATTACCATTGACTTATTTTACTGCCTAGGCCCACTCAATCGCGCACTCAATTTCATCGTTGTGATTTTATCAGAGAACATCGGTAGAGATGGTACAGGCGAATGTTGTCGAACAGACAAACTAAAATATGTTTTCACGTCCATATTTCATGTCAAAGTGATACGCAAACTTTACCGACCATGCAAATGTGTCGTTCGTTGTCAAATGTGAATAAAAAAGTGTCATTTTCGCTCTCAAACGGAGTGAATTGTTTTCGGTGTTCATTAACACGAATTGTTTGACTCGTTGAAAAATCATGTTGCCCTCGTTTTTGTTTCATTCTTCACTTGTTTCATCGTAAGCGTGTACGCTTGCTGTACACAACGCATTATGCATAGATCCCATGTGAATACACGAACTCATGGTTTCATATTTTGCTCGATTTACTTTTTTTCTCGTTCATTTTTTTTTCTTCAAATTCTCGCCACACGCCAACGACCCCAAAATACTCAAAGCGACGAAATATCCTTTGATGACTTTACCGACGCAAACTTTCTACGCATAATTTTCATTCCATTTGCATTTGTATTGAAAAAGTGTCGTTAATTCTAATTGTTCGAAACGTTGGAGTTATGATAATAAGCTCTCTTTCTCTCTCACACTCACTCAAATTGAGCTTTTTTTTCTCGTTTGACTCACGTATTCATGTCTCATCTCTCTTTCTCTGGCGGGCGGGGGGGGCTCTCTCTCTCTCTCTCTCTCTTTGCAACAGGACGAACGACAAGCACAAGCTGGACAAAAATGGAAGCTACCGCCGAACGGTCAACCGATTTGCTCGTTTTCTGGCAGCGAAAAGCAAAGTCGAACAGCGATTCGACCTGAAGATGACAGTAAGTGAAATTGCTTTTTGTGAACGCTTTTGAAAGGATTTTTCGTATTATTTCTCTCTCCCACGCTGTATCTATGCTGCTTTTTTTTTGCTTTGACATACTCAAATGTACTTATACTATTGACGACCTATGTGTTTTTCTATCCTTTTTCTCTTTGCCCAGTTATATTTCGAGTGTACTGTGCGGACCATACATATTGTACATTAAGATTTCCAATAAATGCGACGACTGAAATGATAAAAGCAAGCGCCGCCGACAAATTGCAATTGAATCGTCCGAACGAAGATTTGGTGTTAGCTGAAGTTAAGTCGAACGGTGAACGTACCATTTTCAAAGATCATGATGTCAGCATACCAACGGCATTGTACTTAAATGCTCGCATTTTCGTTTCATCCAAAGATCATATCGATGCGTTGGTAAGTGAAAGCTCCCTCTGCCATTATGTTGTCTCTGTTCTTCTGATTATTTTTTTTTTCCTTTGTGTATGTGCTTTTTTTTAATCGATGAAGGCGAAGAAAAAAAAAGAAAAAAAATCAACAATCGAAATGAACAAACTGAATTAATGTTTTTCTTCTTTCTTTTCTTGTTGCCGTGCACGTATTTTATAGACACCGTTGCCCGAGCAGGAGGAGATCACCGAGGGTATTCCAATGGAATTAGAGCATCTGGGCACCAAAGAATTAGCATTCCATATTACACAATTCGACTGGGATTTATTTTGGTCGGTGCATGAATACGAATTGCTCTATCATACGTTCGGCAGACATCATTTTGGCAAGGTAAATCAAACGCAATGTGATATTCGTTATGGTGTTGATGATGATGCCGTCGTTGTTGTTGCTGTTATTATTATTGTTTGCATCATTATTATTATTACTATTGTTTTAATCGCCGGCTTCATTACTCTAATTAGTTCAATCAAAATAAAATGGTTTTCCGTTAAACGCATGGCGAAGCAAGGCGGTGGGCGACAATTGTTCATCGAACATTTTTGCTTCGCTTAACACAATCAAGCGGTTGCTATAGCACTATTGTAGAATCGAGAATTTCAATCTGCTCTCAATTAAATGCGAAATATGTATTCATGTCGGCCCAAAGAAGGTTCCCGAAAAAGACATAGAGAGAGAGAGAGAGGCAGGGACAGAGTATGGCGGTACCGGAAAATTCGGAACGCAATAAACAAAAATATTCGATAAAGACCAAAATAATCGGATTACTAATAGACAAAAGCATTTCAATGACGCATCTTTTGTACCATCATCACCGCCATCACCGCTACTGTTACTGCATGTTTTTTTTTTCGGTCGGTTGGTCCCTACGTACGTATATAGTATCAGAACGACGACGACGACGACGATTATTTATGGAAACCAATCATCGATTTTACCCGCGATGCCCTCATAAAAGCCCGATTTGTTTATTTTGCCTCTTATTCAATGGCATAATCGAAGTGCATACGGCAGTGAGTGAGAAAAAGAGAAAGCAAGAGGCCCAAAGCTTTAACTAAATGTATGTACGTACACTTTTTTGGTTGGATTTCAAAGAATGATGACAATTTTCGTTTTATTTCCCTTTTTCCCCAATTCTCTACCTCTCTCGCTCCCTGTTACGGAAAATGAAATTGAGCGCGTAGCTTCGAAATATTGATAGGAAAACAATGGAAAAGTCTGATAATGGAATGCAGATGAGCTCATGAATTTGATGTGCGTGCGTTTGAATATTTTTTTTTTCTATTCCAATTTGACGGGATTGTTATAGAGGAAGAGACACACATTTCGTCTCTCTATCATTTGACTTTCATTCTTCTGTCTTTTTCTCTTCCACGCGATCACTATCGCTCGCTCTTTTCCACAGTTCAAAAACTCTGGATTCATGGCAATTTTATGATAATATATCCTTTAATCCATTATCAATGGAATCACAAAATCGAAATCCTTCCAAATTCAAATGTTAAGCCAACTAAAACCCAAATCATTACGAGACAATTCAGGCACGCACACACTCACACACAGGGGGAGAGAGAGCGTACCGGGAACAACAGAGAAATGTAGACATTGATATTTGAGGAATATGAATGTACAATGTATGGAAAAAGTCATTTGTTTCGATGAAATTCAATGGAATCAAACTGGATGAATATGTGTAGAGAGTATTCGGGCAGCTGCAACATATCGCCTCACACACAAAAAGCGCACATACGACTATTCAAAGTGAACTAGCTGTCATCAGTATCGATGAGTCTTCGATGTTCAATTTTGGGTCATAAACGGTACATTGCAAATTGCAAATGTGTCGTTTATGATCCAAAATTGAACATTGATGACTCATCGATACTGATGACAGCTAGTTCACTTTGAATTGTCAAATATGTGCAGATGGCGCTGCAAAATCGTTCACCCAGTGACAAACGTCAAATTAGTATAGAAAGAAGTCGATGTTGCAACCTCCTGAGAGTATTAAATGGTTTTGTGTGGGTTTTATTGGCAGCATGGGATATTGTTTGGATTGTCGCACTGTCGCTATGCTCAGAAGAAAAGGAGTTTAGAGAAGTTTTCAGTTTCCGTAATCGATCACAGAAATCGTATTTCGTCTGAATAGCTCGCATAACACAACAACAAAAAACGCAACAATACAACCGTTTATTAAATATGTAATGGTACATCGAGAATCGGCGGAAAATCCATTCACACATTGATTATATACGTAACTCATGTCGATTTAATATTTTTTTTCAATGCATTCACAGATTACGGCCAATTTGGACGTATTCATCAGACGCTTTAACGAAATTCAGTATTGGGTTGTCACGGAAATCGTATCACAATCGAGCATCACCAAACGCGTATTGCTGATAAGGAAATTCATTAAATTAGCAGCTTAGTGAGTATAATGTTTATAATTTTGCCACAATATCGCCTCGATACATTACACACTAATCAACTAGCCAAATGCCAAAATGAATGAAAATGTAGCAAAGCTGGCGTGCGCGCGAGCGCTTGCAGACGATTGACAAATACTCGTCAGAAGCATATTCATAATGATGGAAATAGAGCATGCTTACGCTGCATTTCTACTATTGTGTGTCTAGAACACACATGTTCGTTCCGTTCACTACCGCCACCGCCACCGCCACCGCCGCTATTATTGTTACTGCTGCTGTCGTACAAGCACACAACAGCTGATGCTGTGTGCGAATGCGCCCACCAGCCTCTTATTCTCATTTTCACTCATTTGGCATTCTATTTGATTGACAATAAGCAGCTTTTCAACGTGATTAGTATTGCATGTTTGCGTTTCTCTCGACTTTCCAATCATGTAATTTATTTTGTATTTGTATATCTGTGAGTCTGTTTGCGTCTGTATAATATTTTGTGCAATATTATGTGTATTATAATTTGCAGCTGTAAGGAGTATCAGAATTTGAATGCATTTTTTGCGGTTGTCATGGGTTTATCGAATAATGCTTGCTCAAGGCTGACACAAAGCTGGGATAAAGTACCGTCGAAATTTAAAAAATTATTTATGGAATTCGAGGCGCTCATCGATCCAAGCCGAAACCATCGGGCATACAGGTATGAGTCAATTTGATACTGATGTTGTTGTATTTAACCCAAAAATCATTTGAATCTCTTGTAAACGATGCACGTATATACATGTGCAATAGATGTACAATCGCATTCAATTGCGTTTCGAGTTCAATTAGTGGCTTCAGCTTCTAGAAGAACTTGAGAAGATTGAGAAATTTCGGTTGAAACATTTCATTTCGGTTTTAATATGCCATTTCATGATAACAACGTGATAGAGTATTTTTCGTCGGAGTTTTGTGATGAAAACAATTGAAATTTGCATATGATTCTACTGATTGAATGGGTATTATTTTGCTGATTTTGCAGGGCATTCGTTGGAAAATTGCAACCGCCAGTTATTCCATTTATGCCGTTGCTGCTGAAGGATATGACCTTTGCGCACGAGGGTAACAAAACCAGTTTGGATGGTTTAGTGAACTTTGAAAAGATGCACATGATGGCGCAAACTATGCGAACAATTCGGTTTTGTCGATCAAGGCATTTGGGTGAGTATCTACCGCTATGCTATCTCTTTTATCCTGTCTCATCTCATCGCCTCACCTGAACATCTCTTGTTTCCCATTCCCATCAAACATTCAATTGCTTTCACCGCAAAACCAAACTGAACTTTTACCATTCGTTTGATTTTCTGGATGTATTCGCAGAAGGCCATTCCTCCCTATTTATAATTATAGCATTTTTCCCTATCTCCACCCGATCGAAATTGATACATAAATTGAAAATTTGGTATTTCTAGTCCTGGACCCTCCGTCGCCGAAGAGTGAGGGCGATATTCGTTCGTACGTTGGCTGTTTCCGTGTGATTGAAAACCAAAGACAATTGACAATAATGTCACAGAAAATCGAGCCTGGCCGAAGGCAATGAAGTGATTAAAACTGTTGCCGCACACCACCACCACCACCAACATCATCATCACCATACAACACCATACCAGAATGGTAATTGCGCTTATTGTCTGCCAGATCTAAACCACTCATTTTATATATACATGTATATGCGGCGCGCTAGCAACACACACTCGATTTGGACCACTTTTCAAGTGGATGATAATTCTGCATTTCTCCCCTAGCTCTTTCTGTATGTCTCTCTCTATTTCACTTTTGCACGTTCCGTGTGTGTGTGTATGGCCACACATACAACTGGATTCTGCACTCGGAATAGACATTCAAGTTAACCACAAATGGATTTGAGCTAAAAATCTTAACAGAATCCATCCACTGAGAATTAAATCTAACAAAATTGCGAATTGCAACACTCTAAATGCTAGGTAATTATTGAATCCTTAACACAGATGATAATCACACACACCACCAACAACAACAACATGTAAGCTGTTTTGTATAGCACGTCTTTTTCTCTCGACTTCTTTTTGTAAACACACTCGAAATTGAAATTAAGATACAAAATGCTCCACCAATCTACCCATTGAACAAGAACCTACACATAAACACACATTTTTACTTAAAATTTAAAACGCAATAAATTGCAAGTCTTATGAGAATTTAAAAAAAAACATTGAAAGATAAATATATAAATATAACAGAGTAATATATACACAGAAGAAATAATACAACTATTAACGTGTTGAAACCATGTTTGACAAAGGAAACCATTGGGGGAATAAAAATAGCATCCTAGTCTCTGCAATAATAAGTTATAGCATCTAATGCATTTTATCACTTCACATACATGTGTCGAACTGATATATACTTGTTGTTACACAATGGAAAATAATGAAACAACAGCAGCAACAACAACAAAATGCTAACTGCAAAAGAGACAAGCAAACCTAGAGGAAAAAAATCTGAACGATTTATATGTATAATACAACATACAGCATACAGCAACAAATAAAAAAAAATGTAATGTTAAAAAATGAATCTGATGTGTGTCAATGACATAGCAATTTTTAAGAAGTCCCGAGTAAGTTTAAGCACGTACAAATAATCGTAAATAGGAATTTAGATAAATGGTAACGGAAGCAAACTACGAAATAAACAGAAGAAAAACAGAAAAGAACGCGTCTGAATGGTAACGGAATGAAATGTCGCGAATGTAATGTGTAATTCAGACGAATTCAGAAGATGAAGTTGTTGATGTTTATTTTTGTTCGTCTCATTTTCAACAACAACAACAAAATCATCAGCAACAATAACAAACATTTTTCTATTTCATTATTTGGTTGACTTTGTACGACATTTTCATCTCTCAATGTAATTGAAATGATTGTAATGACAATCAAATAAGTAGTTTTATAATGCACTGCACATATAAATCCAAGCTGATTTCTTTTTCATGCGATAAGAGCATTAAATGTGCATATTTGTAGATTCAACCGTTTTCCCTTGACGTTCCTCATATCTATCCCCAAGTCCCATCCCTTTTGGATACGCAACAGCGTATTTTCACTCTCCGCCTCATACAGACGGCTAATTGCATAGTTTATTCAAATTCAATAAAGTATAGAGAAACCAAACCGTTCCGTGTCAATGATATGGAAAAAAAAATTGCGGATTCGCATACACACTCGTACATTATATATATAATGTACAACAACCGCTTCAACAGCCAAACGCGTTCGAATTGAATTTTAAAGAGAAGAAGAAAAAAATAACAACAGCATCGACTACGACAAAAACATGAAAATGAAGCTGGCAAAGAAATCGCATAATTGGGACACTCATTCAAAGTGGCTCCGATTCTTTTCAGCCACTTGAACACTCTTTTTTCTCTTTCACTCCCTCCTTCCCTCTCATTCTCTTTCTCACACTCTATTTGAGAAGAAGAAAAAACAGAAAGTATTTTTCATACGTCTTTTATAAAACTGTATATAAAAGAAAACTCCTTTTATTTTCTATTTTTAAGTAGTTAACTTAACCATAGGTATGACATTTCCGCACGTACACACAGCAAACATTTAAAAAAAATTCGTTTTAGCTTTTTCCTTCGTTTCTCTTTGTTTTTTTTTTTCGTTCTTTCTCTGCATATTTTTCTCGCGAATTTTTCCTCTTTCATTTTTTTCAAGTTTTTTTTTATGGTGTGTTCATTATTATTTTACTGAAGAAAATCTGTGATGAAAAATTGATGAAAAGAAGAAGAAGAAAAAAACACACCCATATCATACTGTACTGTAAACTGAAAGAGATTTCCTTTTGTGAATCTGAAATGTGTAAAAGTGAAAATGATTATAAATGGAATCGAATTTTTTTTTTTTAAATACATAGCGATTTAATAAAAAGAACATTTTTTCTAGCGTTTTTTTTCCTTATCTTTTCTATCTTTCAGTTCAATTTGTTCCGTATTGTTTCGTTCTTGGTTTTTTTGACTCGTTTTCTATTTTGTAATGACTTTTTGTTTTCATTGCTGTTTAATCGTAAGTATAACTTCTGTGTGCCTCTGTCATTTCGTTCACTTCACTTGGTGTGTTTGAGGTGTACCTGTACATTTCGATCATTTTTGTATCGGTTTGAAGTGGTGAACGATAGGATTAGAATTCTATTAGTGTATGTATTCTGTGTGATTAGACACACTATAGTTCTGCCAAGCACTTTTCTTTTTCTCTTACACTCACTCCCCATTGGTCCATTCTCTATTCGCGCAACGATTTAAAACTCTTTCGGGATTTTGCGTACAATTGACACGGATATAACACTGCAGCTGAAGTTCTTTAGATTTCAAGCAAACCAATTGGTTTACAATGATTAATCATTTTATCAGTTGAGAGAAGAAAAAAAACTTACTGCCCAAGAGAAACACAACAAGCACTTGACTAGCCGTATATTGGTTTTACGTCAATATTACTTTTGTGCGGCCACATTTTTTAGGGTATTTCAATTTAAAGAAACAAATTCACATAATTCAGTGCAGCATCGCTGACATTCCACTTGAATATGTTTTATTCTGACAATAAAATGTTCATCGTGTTTAAAATTAATCATAGGGAAAGATATTCATCTGTAACCACTACACACATAAAATATATAACTAAATGGAAGAAAATATATTGAGCTTCAACAGCAGCAGAAAAAAATAGTGCCGCCATTGAATCAACGGAAACAAACTTATTTCTCGAAGCGGCCATTATAATTGTTCATCATTTTTTCTATTTATCTCTCTCTATCTCTCACTCTCGCCTGGAAATTTAATTAAGTGAATCGGTTGGATCGAAATTCAAGTTAGATATATCTAACTGTAATTTATTGGCAGTTTGATGATAAAAATGCGGTTTTTCGATTGAAATGAAATATATACGTTGGTACTGGGTTTTTTTTCCGCCTTTGGTTACATTGAAATGAATTCAATTGCATTGATGCTGAATGATGTTCTCTCCTGTTAAATAACATAATATCCGTATGAAAACAAAACTGAAAAAAAACGAGAACATACTCCTATCCCTCACGTTTAGCAATTAACAATAACAACAACAGCAAACCGACAAAAAAAACCAGAGTAAATAAACAAATGGATGGAATATTTTTCAGTTGTCCATTTTCCAAATCGAATTGTACATGTTTAGGATGTAACAAAACTTTTTGCGGATAAAATATGTATTGGAGTACAATTCGTACGAGTTTTAATTTTGAATAATAAAAAGAAGTGCCCCACCACATTCACTCGAGCGGAGCATTTCATCATTCGAAATATGGGATTCAATGATTTAAAATGCAATACATTTATTGTTGTCGATCTGAAATTCACATTCTGTATGCTAAAAAGTCGTTGATTCATTTGTTTCGTTGGAGGTGTTTTGGGCAGGCATTTTGCGTGTGCAATTTTTTTTTTAGCCAAATCATATTTTTCATTGCGTATGATGACAATCAAAAAAACAAACATTTTCGTGTGGTAGAGTCTGTCGTGTTCTACTCTGGGTAGAAAATGCGGTTTAGGTAATTCTGTGGTTAGTAGTAGAACGCACAGTTCACGTGTAGTTTGTAAAACACGAACAAAAACAAAAACAAAAACAAAATAATCAAGAACTCTTTCTCACTCTAGCTAAAAATATAAATTTGAATATATTCATATATTCTCACCAAATGTTAGTAGAAAAAAAAAAAACAAAAACCCCATCAGAAAATACAAGCAAGAGAGAGAGAGAGAGAGAGAGAGAGAGAGAGAGAGAGAGAGAGAGAGAGAGAGAGAGAGAGAGAGAGAGAGAGAAGAAAACATATATACATTAAGCATTTTAGATTAGTAACGGCAAATAGTCTCTCGATGAGATCGATTGGATTTGGATGGAAAAACTGGAAATTTTTTCATCATTTGATTTGCACGTGCGAAAAAGAAGGAAAAAATAAAATAAATGTGAATGTAGCAGTAATAGCATCGATGATGGTCATATACATATAATACAAAAATCATTTCTAAATTTTGCCTCTCAGCAAACATACAAAAAAATGGCCCAATCGAAAATGTTTGCATATCAATGTACGACTCACCTTTAAAAAGAGAAGAAAAAAAAACAAATACCAGAAATAAAAACAATCTTTTGCACAAACAATCACTTTGCTACCACACCGACAATCTACTCTCACTCCTTCTATCTCACAGAAAAAAAAAACACATTCAACGGAAAAGAGAATCCATCGAAAAGAAATTGCTTGCAGTCAGCAAGGTAATTGTGTCATGGCGTGCATTCGCCGCTCAACTGAAAACGATTTGCCGCTCAACTGAAATCGTCCGGAAGAAATCGATTGGATTTTCGTTTCATTTCCGAACGAATTGAGATTCAATTGCATCCGAGTATTTTCCCATAAGAAACATGTATTTTAATATTTGGAGAAAAAAAAGAAGAAATATCTATGACATAAGATTATAGCTATAAAATTATTGCAGCCGCAATAGCAACAACAAAAAAAACATGAGTAAAATATATCTAAATGTGATTAGAAAAGACAATCCTACTAATGAATTCGAATAGAAACCCCTCACATATGAATTGAAAAAAAAAATGCAAATGAAAATGTAAAAAAAAAACAGAATGTAAATTTGTTAGATGGTAGAAACAGAGATCAAAATAATGGTATCGACCATGTTTATTGATCCGATTTGGCGAAGAGAAAACAATGGTCTGATAGGGGCCGTGGCTCTTGAAATCCACTTCCAATTCCTTTTTACGCGCGCTGTGTTTCTTTCTTCTATAGGCAGATAAACTATATAATTGATGGATTTACATCTCCTTTGGATCTTCTTTGGATCTCCATTTCATGCAACCTTACACTTGGCACTTCTGTTTGTTTTCAAAGCGATATGCACAACGTAGATATATACAAAAATAGCAGCAACAACAACAACAACAACAACAACAACAGCAACAAAACAAATACAATGGCTTTTACATTGTAGTGCTAAAAAAGAAAAATCAGATTGTCTTATGATTCAACAGAGGCATTCATTTCCTCTCGGTATCTCTTTCTACTTCCCCTTAGATCTAAAAAAAACATATACATATGAATATATAAGTAAATCATATCTATGCTCGTAAATTCGATGTTCCAAGATTATGTGTGTGATAGACTCTCCATCACTTCCTCAATGCCATGGCATTGATAATGACCCAATAATATTAAAGCTCACTCGTTCCACGCTTTTAGGTATGTTTATTTATTTTTTTCTCCTCCACCCCATTTTTTTTTTTGTTCTTTTCACCATACATAGCACAAACGACACACATCACAAAAAGAGAAAGAAAAAAAGCATATCCCCCGGATGGAATAAAGAATGGATAGCAAAAAAAGAGACAACTGTATAAATGGACATTTATACCATTTCGGGTAATCAGAAATGACATTCATAAATTTCAGTACAAAGAAGGATTTAATATACATATATGACGATATAATAATATATATTATATATTGAAAAAATGACCAAACCGATTTCCTCCTAGTTGTTAAGCATTCCATATGAACCTGAAATATCATTTTCGATCGAATATTTGCGTTTTTATTTTCTATCTTCTCATTTTTCACTTCATTTATTTCTAAACAAAATGATGACATAAACCCAAGAAATTGATAATGCTCATCATTTGATAGTGAAAAACAAATAGATTTATTCAACATACATATATTTTTGTAGTGTAATGTAGGCACATCGACAACACAAGTAACCAAAGTAGATCACCGAAGAAATGAATAAACTATATTTTATCACTGTAAGAGCATCAAACTCCAACAAATTGTAATTACAGTCCATTTTTGTTCAGCTCTAAAACTTATAATCCAGTTTTTCCATTGAACTTTTCTGATTTTAGTTGTGCTTTTTCATTTTTAAAAACCATACTTAAAGGGCAAGAAAAAAAAAGACGAATTGAGTAGAACTTTCTTTCTTCGGTTTTTCTATTTGTTTTTTTTTTTTTCACAAAACCATCGTCTTATTTATGTACAAATGAAAGCACCGATGAATTCCCTGATGCAAAAATATACGCAATTACAGTACAAGTTCAACCAAAGCAAAACTCAACAAATAACGATAGATTTAAATAGAAATTGTGCATTGAATAGACGACGACAATGAACAGAAGAAGAAGAAAAATAAATAGCCAACAACAGAATGACGTAAAATAAAACAAATCCAAAAGAGGTTGATTGTAAATTGTGAACACACACACACACACACACACAACTGAACAACACTGGAAGGTGAGCATTGTTTTGAACGACGACAATATCCCATTTGCAATGTGAGCAAATATTTTATATATTGTAACATAGAATGAAAGACAGACAAAATGGTTAACTATTCCTATTCAAATGAAAAAGATGAACAAGTATTTCTAAACAACCAAAAATTTTATCACTTTTTTTTGTGGTAGCTTTACTTAAATCTTAACTATACTTAGAAAAAGAAAAAATTAACAGAATATTTGGTCCTTATGATAGTAGGTAGATTTCTATATCACCACTTTTCGAATCTCTCGATTCGCACCTACATTTTTGAGATTAAATTGACAGAATGATGACATTGTAAGGGAAAGACTGGATTCATAAATAAATGTAGTCAATAGATCAGTATGGCTGAATAGGGAGAACGTTGAAAACAGGCGAACTTCTTTTTTTTCAATGACAATGACTTTTTCCTCTCTGGCTTCCCACTCTTTCTTTCTCTATTTTCCACTGTATACCGATTTACATTGTCCAAACTTTTTTTATTCATTGGTTCTCTATTCATCTTTGAATAATTCATTTTGAGTTCGTTTATTTTCCTGACACAAGAAAACTTTTCTCCCTTCTCTATGTCTGTTGATCAAAAGTGATATTTTTACGGGATGAAAAGACGAACAGAGAAAAAAGTGACAACTTTTCCTTATTCAGTATTTACATACACACAAACGAGAAAAAAGGGTTCTTTTCTCTGCATAGTCGAGTAGAAGAAATAAATTTTCCGATTTAACGTTCGATGGATAGATGTTTTTTTTTTCTCTCTATCTCTAATCGTTCTAAAATGATACAAACACACACACACACACAAGAAAAAAAGATGAAAAAGACGTAAAAAAACTGAGCCAACAACTTTTCCTCCAAATTAAGTAAACTTGACAACTGTTCGAATTGATAGTAGAATTGGTTAAAGACAAAAATACAAATACAGAGGCAAAACAATTTGTAGAGTCAGCCTTGGCTGATTGACAGAGACAAAATCTATTTGGAAAAAACAAAATATGAAGCAAAAAAAACATCTTTATTTATCAATAAAAATTAATATCGTATACAGATTTTCATTTTGTCTCTTACAAACTAGTTGAATGAACAGTTGCCATTTCGAATGATTCCGCTGCACGATTTATGTAATTGCAATATATAATAACACAATTAAGATTAAAACGATTCACCACGATGATTGGATGAAAACACTTGACGGCCGGAAATCCAATCATTCGAAATGGCATCGCCTCATTCGAAATTCTTACAATTCGTGTACTAAATATACTGTAAATTTTAAATAAAAATAAATATCTTATGACTAAAAACAAAGAAAAAAAAACTGTGTATTGAATATTTCCGCAGAATGGCACAAGTTCGAGTTTTAGTGGCCGTTTATTGAGATTGTTGAAAGTTGGTCAAAATGATTTTTGGTAGTGTTTTCCACTCACATTGAATCGTATGTAGGATACTTTAGATCAAGCTTTTTGTTCTTCTTCAACAACGAACCGCTGACAGTGTATCAGAAATGATTGCTTGCTGTTCAAGCTTGTAAGTCCATTTCGGCTTGTAAAACGGGTAAAATACGAAAATAAATGATGTCCAACACGATGATTGTGTCGATTAAACGGCCAAATGCTTTCATAATATCTAAAGCACGTGTGAGACGTTCTTCGGCTTTGACCTCATCATAGCCAAATACAATTGCATCGGAAAATGCGAGATGCTTACTTTTATTTTGTTGGGCAAATTTATGCTTGGCCAAATCTTGAAAATGACGACACGTCAACGATACCGATGCCAAATCATACAATGATAAATGGGAAAGTATTTGCAGAACACAGTCATCGTTGAGACCAAATATCGGCGCAGTTTGAATGATTGACGCATTTTTAAATAATTTGATTCGCTTCAATTCCATCACGTCCGTCATATCCTGACCATCGAATTCTTTAAGTGGCTCATGACCGGAACAACGACGCCCCAAACAATCACTGAACGTTCGATTAATCCAACTGATTATTTTGTTCATGGTTTTTTGTTTCGCTGTCTTGCTTTCTCTCACGGGATACGGTGTGCTCATCTGAAATTTAAACGACAAAAACTGTAAGTACATCATGTATTGACACAGGTAACGGTACATTCAATAAAATCGATATTTACCAAGTGCTATTTTTGGTAATTCAACATCTGCTCAACAACAACAACAACAACAGCAACAACAAAAAATATATCACCGTTCAATCCTAACTCAGAGAAACACTAAGGAAGAATTTTTATTTTTCAAATTAACGAAAATTGTTGAAATGGTTTTTTTTCGCAAGCAAAATTATTACAATTTTAAAACTAAATTCAAGCAGAATAAATAAAAATCGCTTTACTTTTATTTATAAAAAACACACACAGTGCGTTTTTGTTGGATAGACTCCATTGGCTGTATATTTCGTTTGTGGTTGTCGTTGTCGTTGAGCAGCTGACTCTGCCAAAACTCGATCATAAGCTGTTGTACATTGGAACAGAACAAAGAAACTCGCAATGGATTGCATGCTGAATGCCGTATCGATGTGTTTGTGTTAAAGAAAGATCTATAGTTTAGCCTATACACACACTCAATCACACACACATACATTGACGCATCGAATTCGATGTATTTGTTTGTTTTTATGTCATCGTCACATATGCGTCGCATCCACAGATGAAAGACTGTCACAGATTTAGCCGAACAAAAAGTAAACGCACTAACAAACACATGCAAATGCAAATAGTCGTTTGTCTCTCTGTTGATGGAAAACTCGAATTCACTTGCTGAATACGGTTCGGTGTTTTGTTGTTGTTATTATTGTCGAGTAATTAGCATTGGTTCAACATGCCCAGAATGATGAATGTCTCAAGTCAGCTGGCAGTGGGCGAACATATGTCACAAAATGAATAAAACGCATTTTCAACAGTTGATCAATATAGAATAATTTTATTCAGCTCATAAAATGAAAAATAACAATAATAGAAAACAAGTTGGACAAAGAGAAAGGGAATATTAAAAAAGAACCGAGAAATCATCATCTTGCGAAATCTCATTTAAATATAATATAGATCTGAATAACAGAGCATTTTTTTTAAAAAAGACATAATTTTTTTCGGAATGATTTTTTTTAGTTTCTTTTTTTTTCTTTCAACAACGAAAGGCACTGTAACCAACAGTTAAGTCTAAAAATTCGTGTTAGATCAAACATGTACACACTTTTCCCTAAGAAAAAAGAGAAGAAAAGTCATTTTCATTGCATTTTCGTTCAAATTTTACAATCGGTAGAATCGGTTTGAGTGTTTGTGTGTGTGTTTTCTCATCATGTTCATTGCACTATAAATTGTAATTTGTCTATTCGAAAAATAATTATAACAATAGTATAGGTTGATTTTGTTTTAGGTACATTGTAAGATTATCATCGTTAATTGGAATGTTGTTGTTGTTGTTTTTTTTTTTCCCCGTGTATAAAACCACCGAGTTTACTCCGTGGATATATCACTGTGATGCATTTAAAAGAAGCGTAAAGGCGCTCGAAATCGTTCTCTTCTTCTCATTGTTTTGTTTTGTTACTCATCTAATTAATCGCTATAAGCAAGTTGTCAAATTTTAATAGTAGAAGCATATCGTTTACTTGTTTCATAGGCAATATAGTCGGTTCTGTCTTATGTTTCATGTTTCTTACGTTTTTTTTCCACGGTCTGTTTGCCGACGATCTACGTCTAAGCTAAATTCAAAGATTTACTACCCCAATTGTACAAAATTAAATGTAAAAATGTGTTTTTTGTTGTTGTTGTTGTTGTTGTTTAGTCTCTAAATCATGTGTTACATGTTGGGACATAGATTATTGTCATCTATATCCGAAACAACTTTTGCCGGTTCAATGATACCGCCACGGTATTGTCCATTGCGTGAAACTTTCTCTGGCCCTTGTAACGCACTCATTCGAATAAAAGTAATGCCAATGTAACGCACGATGACCGACATCTCCAAGCTACGGCCCCATGCAATCAATGCAAATGGTCGGCTTGGGTCGAGTTTTTCGTACGGTGTTATTATGTGACGATACAAGCAATCCTTCACCAATTTCCGGAATTCATCCAATTGCCGTTGGTTCACACATGGATGGTAGGCGGCAACAATTGCACCATGCTCCAAATTATGTAACCATCGCTGCACCGGCACATAACTGTATTCACCATAAATTGGCCAAACGGGACGATGTGTTCCACTGCAAATACGAAATACATAAATCAATCAACGCAACGCACTTCATAAATTTCGGCCATCATTATCGTCACACATTTTCACGCCGATGAATGACGCGCGCGCGCGTTTTCGAGTGCCAAACCATTTAAACTTTACATATTCAAACACTTACAATGTTGGTATGACAAAATCATAGTCAATTGATTCATTCATGCAGCGATGCAATGCCTACAAAATGAACAAAAACATCAATCCGATTATTATTATTGCAAATGCAATTCAATGTTTTGCCGTTAAATAAGTTGTCAATTATTTACCGAGTACTCGACTGGAATGGTGTATTCCCGCATAATTGGCGCGATTGTCATATTTGGCTCGAATTTTTTCCGATTTTCCATACATATGTATCGGCTATGATGTGAGATATTTTTCGGATCGTAATCAATCCATAAATTTCGCTGCGATATGAATAAATAACACGAAAGAAAGAAAGGAAGAAGAGGAGAATAAAAACAGATGTGTCATTAATCGAATTATTTTGTGTGGTGGAGGAGAAAACGTGATTGTGTCGTTAAGTACCTCTGCGTCATCACATGTTGGATCAGTAATGCCCATGGTTTTCATTTTTTTGCTATAACTACTCGCACTGCTATCGGTGTTATTGTTGTTGTTTGCCACATCAATACTTTTGTGGCCGTTCAATAGCGGATCATCTTCGTCGGGCTTGTGCGGAAACCATTTTCCATTCCATTCAGAATCTATATTACAATGCATGAAAAATGAATATCGGTAATATGATGATTATTATTTCAGTTTCAGGCACCAAAAGAATGAGGAAAAAAAAAACTAAAGAAAAAAAAAACCAAAAATTCAAAGTCATTCCACACAAAAATGCTCACCTGAAGCGATCGCACTACAGCCGAGCAAAATAAGCAATGTAACTATATAACTTAGTAAGTTCAACTTATCGCTAGAATGCAGCATTTTTCAGCTCAGTACACGTTTTTAAAAACAATTAGCGTAAAATCACAGACAATTCACCATTGCTTTTGCTAGTTTTTAAACCAAAAACGAGGAAAATTTCGAAGAATTTCTTTTTACATGGAAGAATTCATTCGCACTTTTCTCGTCGATTTGAAAAAAAAAAAAAAAAAAAAAACGTAAACGAAACGTAAAACAAATGAAAAACAAAAGAAACTTTTATTTTTTTTTTACTGCAATAAATATGCTTACGATGCAAATTATGTGGAATGGAAAAATTCTAAACGAAACAACGAAAATTAGATGTATGACATTGATAGATTGATTTTTACAGTAAATAAAACGTCAACATTACTTCACACGTTCATGTTTTTGTTGTGGTTTTGCGATTGGTGCTCTTCTTCTCTCTATGTGAACTATGTTGAATTGGTGTGTAGAAAAATTTCTGCGCTCAGCATCAATACCCGTGCCGCCATCTATGGATAATTGTATGCCACATAGCAACGGCAAATGTGACACATGTCACAGTGCATCATTGTATTTAACCGAATTGAAAACAACATTTTTATTTTCAGACGAATTTTGTTTTTTTTTCAAGTTTTGAATTAAAGTTTAGATAAGAAATAATGACAGAGGACTTGGTCGATTCACGGCCCAAAGAAGTTGAGAGTGAAACCAGTTCAGATGATGCTGGTCCACCGACAGCCGACGAATTCTTTAAATCGCCGGATTTTTATAAAAATGCCCAGCAATATTGGTCACGTATCGATCCAACCATCGATGGCATGCTCGGCGGTTTGTCAATCATCGACACAACCGATGTCAATGGATCTGCACGCTTTCTAAACCAACTGTTTAAAATGAAACCAGCGCCTGGAACAACACGAGCACTTGACTGTGGGGCGGGAATCGGTCGTGTTACAAAAAATCTGCTCATGAATTACTTCAAAACCGTTGATCTGGTGGAACAAGATGAGAATTTCGTTCGAAAAGCTCACGATTACCTCAGTACAAATGACCAACTAAATGAGAAAATCGGAACGATTCATAATGTTGGACTACAAGATTTCACACTAACCGATAATACATATGACGTGATTTGGTGCCAATGGGTACTAGGCCATTTGACCGATGAAGATTTGGGTGCATTTTTCAAACGATGCACGGCTGGGCTCACAAAAAATGGTTGCATCATTATCAAAGAGAATTTCACATCAACCAATGATTTTTGCATCGATGCAACGGATTCATCGGTAACACGATCGCTTCGAGTGACTAAAACCATTTTAGAATCAGCCAATTTACGCATTGTTAAAATTTGCAAACAGGATAATTTTATTCAAGGTCTTTTCCCCGTTTATTCCATAGCATGCAAACCCAATCGAAGGATTCAATAAAATTGTTGAATTTTTTTTACCAGAAAAAAATGACTTTAAATTTATTTAATTATTTGAGGAAAAAAAAATCTGACAAAATAAATAGAATAATGATCGAATATCGATTGGCGAATATCCGTGGTTCAGTGTTCCATTTGTTCGGCGTCCGTCTGCAGTTCGTAAATTTGAATGTAGGCTTCGGTGAGAGTAATCATCTGCGGTAGAATGTTGGTGACATGCAAATCCTGCATTTCATACCATTGACCGGTGGATTTTTGTAAAATATGCACACGATACGTGCCTTTGTTTGGCTCACCGTCATGCACCACATTCGCAATCAAATTGTAGCGCGTGTGCTTATGCTTAGCACGATTTTCCTCCGTTAAGATATCACCGAAATCCACGTTACGCACCGGGAAATTGACAATCGTTGGATTTTTCTCCAAAAAGAACGTATTCTTTGTGAATCGCTTGATGTACAATATAATGAATGGTGGCAATTGGGTTATTTCGAATCGCTTCATAAAACTATCTTTGTACGTCTTGTACTCCTTCTCGGAAATGCCATTGAATTTGGCCAGCAACTGGTACAGACTTACCTGAAATTGAATGAAAATTGAAAATAAATAAACAATTTCATGAAAATGTTGTACATTTCCTCATTTCATCTTCAAATATGTTTTTTTTCAGACATTTTGTTTATGTTAATAGATTTTTCGATGAATTTCCCACCCAAAAATAAGAAAATCAAATTTCCAACTTACTTGTGGAATAATATTCTCTCGGAATTCATCGATGAAAAGTGGCGGTGCTGGTAAATCACAAGTCAAATACAGAAAACTCGTTGCTTCAACCTTTTCTTGATACTCTTCGGTGGCCAAAAGCAGTGATTTTTGTGTGTCATCCAGATCCGTTGATGGAATTTTCCTTGTGTACACATTCATTTGTCCCAAAAATGCTTTGTTTATGATGAATGAGTCTGGTTTTTTGTTGCCACGCAATGCCCGATGCGTGGTGTGCAAGAACCACGATAAGAAATCGATTGGATCACCCTGTTGTGTGATTTGAAATTGTTTATTACTCCACAGTACGACCGCTTGAAGCATTTCGTGTGGTGAAACGTGCGCTTTGAAATTGCGTGGATTCCACATTTTTCGCATCAACTCACCGAACCGCTGCCCAACAATGCCCGGATTGTAGAGTGTTCCGTCGATTGTTCGCGATGGTTTTACATCGGGGCTGTCAAGTTGCCGGATGTTTTCGCTGTTGAATGTTGGATTCAACAAGTATTTGATGTCATTCAGCGACGAATCAATGATTTCATAGTTATCCGGCAAACAATAGAATTTCAAATTGTGTAAATTCAAAAAGACATGATGCGAATCGGCCACCGAATGTGTGTATGCATGTGTATTTGTACCGCGGCCCTGGAAATACTTTCCGCACACAAGGCACGCATACACATTGATCCGTGTCAATGAAACGGAGCACAACTTTTCGAAGTCGAAATCCAACACATTTCGATTGATTGTATCCAAATACGGGCATTGTCGGGATTTTGGATTCTCTTTTCGACTCGGTCGTTGGCCCAATTTCGGTTCGTTATCTTCGTCATCGTCTGCAATTTGACAATAAATTTATATTAATTATTTTCAGTCAAGCATTAGATTGTTTTTTCTCCTCGGAATTTACGTTCCGGTTCAAATGCCATAATCCATTTACCATCCACAACATTTGCTGCCTTCAATTTCTTCGCCGGTGATTCGGCAACTGAAACATAAATCCATGAAAAGAAAAATCCATTCAGTTTTCGTATAAATAAACAAAAGTGAAGTAAGGTTAGGTTAGGTTCATTATAACATCAACAACGTACAGTAAACATAAACATTCCATCATTTTTTTCACATTCAATTCATCAAAAATTATTCCATTTTGTATAGAAACTAATGGTCTATGATCAATTTTACCTGTTCCATTCGATTTCATTTGTTTGGCCACCAATTATTCAACGAGTTGCTGCGTTTTTTATGTGTGACACTGTCAGATTGTCAAATTTTTGAAATGTCAACGAATAAATCGACAACCATTGTCACACAATCTCTGAATAAGTGGAGAATTTATGTATTTTTCCACTGACTTAAAATGGATCAAAATAATGACATAAAATATGAAATAGACACAGAGCAACAGTTGAGAATCGAAATAGATTTTGGAAATTGTTTTTTTCAATTGAAATTTTGACTGGCTATTGCGCTTTGATGTATAGAAAAAACAAACGATTCCAATGTCTATGTTTGACAAATGAATTGACAATTGAGTTCAAATTCAAATATTCTGACGTTTCATTGTTGGAAGAAAGCGACTTGAACGCTTTTGCATTCGCATCTTCATCTCGCGTCATTACAAGCAGTTTTTGAGCAGAAAAATGGATAAAATCCTCAAGAAAGAGAGTGTAATTAATAAGTTATTTTGAATTTTCATTCTTATTAAATAATCAACGCTTGTCGTCTTCTTATTAGGGTCTAGAAGTGGTTATTCACCGCACATATCAACATTTTTATCAAAAAAAATGGTTCAATGCGACCGGTGGCGGAATGGCAATAAAGAAAGAGTTAGTTCAGATGCTTTATACTTTGTGTTATTTCAATCCAAATATCATATTACTCAATATTATTTATATTCCAGAGGATTTGTTTACTTCATACCGTCCTATTTCAACGAGCAATTACCCGATTCAACAAATGTAAAGAAAATTGCGATCGTCGACATTCCAACCAATATTGAGTGAGTGTTACACATAACCCTATTTATTCTTGATGTTTTTTCAACTTTTCTTGTTTTCATTTAGCATGTGTTCCGGTATTTTCCCTTTGCCAGATGGTTTTTCTACCGTTGTGCACACACATTCAGTGGCTTCTATTCGTGCTGCGAATTATTGGGGGAAAAAATACTTCAAATCTTTTTGTTTCAAGAAAAATCATATCACAAAGGTAATTTCTATTGAACATTAAAACATCACTATTGTTTACATTGAGTTTTCTAATTTCTGTGTCGTTTCGAAAAAAACGAAGAATTTGGATGGCATCATCGGAGCAAAAGCGAGCGGTTCCGCAGGAGATGAAAATCTCGAAGTTCCAATTATCGAAAAGAATAATTTTGACGACATTGTGAATGCAGCAACGGTTGGGTCCAATGTGAACAGTGTTCTGGTGGAAGACCATGGTCTCTATGTCTTCGGTGAAACATGGCAACAAGCGAAAGTGACGTGAGTGAAATGTTACAAATATGAAATAAAATATAATTTAACTCAATATATTCTTTCAACAGATGCGAAACTTTGGAATTCCTCTTTGAACTGGAACTGGAACTGGAACTGACGAAAAAACCAGAAGCAGAAACAAAGCAATTTGCATTACTACAAGGATTATGATATATCGTGCGGATCATCATGTACGATCAAAAAATCCAACATAAAACACAGCACAGTTACTTAACTTATAGTTAACCAGTTCAATCATAACGTTTCTTTTCAACAAATACAAAACAACAACAACAACAACAAAAATTTAATAATTTACGAGCAGAGC